CAGAGGGAGAAGCAGGCTCCCAAGGAGCAGGGAGCCCGATGTGGGACTCGATCCCAGGACCCTGGGATCATGACCTGAGCTGAAGGCAGACACTTAACCATCTGAGCCACCCAGGCGCCCCTAAAACCCATGTTCTTAGCCACTTCTTCTATACTGCCTGACCAGTAAGGACACAAAACCAATGGCTTCTCTAAAATGGATCTTTAATTCTCACTACAGTGCTAGGGCAGGGGTTGGAGTGGTACAGTAACAGGCTGTTACTCTACTCAAGAATCTACATTTTTTCTACCTCAAGAGTTAGAGGATTATAAGTAGGGGGGACAGCTGCATTGATATCAGTCACTTTTGCATTTGCATTGCCTTTGGGCAGTGATACTTAGAATCTGTTTGTGCTTTTTTTTTTAAGGAATTATTCACATGAATATTCTATTTTAAGATAAAATACTTGTTTTTTAATGTTTGAATATGACCGAATATGATCTGTTAAAGAGTTTTGAGATCTTAATTTGATTTTCATCTTAGATCAAAGTTGTTTGTTTACACTGGAACCTAGAAATGTGCTTGGCACCTACACTTTATTGTTATGTAGGAAATAGGTTGTATGAAGTCACTTACTCATTCTATTCTGGGTTGAATGAAAGCCAGAATTGTCGATCGCCTGCAATATGGATATGAGTAAAGGTAGTTTCCTTCACACTACTGAATCTCAGTCACTTACAAAGAGAAACTCTCCTGGCTGCCTTAAACACCTGAGCTGCTGCTGGGAATTCTTGACATGTCGTATATCCCTCCTCCCTGGCCCCTGCCGAATTAAGACACACAGTAAAACAGTAAAATATGCTTTCTCTGTACTCAACGTCCTTTCCCCACTGGAGAGGTTAGTGTGATTTGGGGGCTATTGTAGGAAAATTTAGAACTTTTAAATCATAATAGATTCACCATTGGATAAAGATAAGTTATTAAAGAAAAGATAGGGATAGTATAGAGGTAGAAACTCTTATAATAATGGCCTCTTTGGGGACCCTTGGGTGGCGCAGTCGGTTGAGTGTCTGACTCTTGGTTTTGGCTCAGGTCATGATCTCAGGGTCATGAGATCAAGCCCCACGTTGGGCTCCAAGCACAGTGGGAAGTCTGATAAAGTTTCTCCCTCTGCCTCCCCCTCCCCACGCTTGCTCTCCTTCTCTAATAAATAAATAAATCTTTAAAAAAAATAATGGCCCCTTTTTCTCAAAAATATCTGTTCCCAAATTATCTAAATTTTCTCATTTTACTTTGTGTGAGGACTTCAGTTTCACTTAATAATTTTTGAAAATAAGTGTCCTCTCTGAAAAGTCCAAATATCAAAGAGGATTTAAGGCACTATTAACTCATGCAGTGGTTGTGAAGAGATGGAAGGGAATGGAATGGTGGTCTTCCTCTTCTTTTTTTTTTTTTTTAAAGATTTTATTTATTAGAGAGAGAGAATGAGAAAGAGAGAGAGAGAGAGCACATGAGAGGGGGTAGGTTCAGAGGGAGAAGCAGACTCCCGCTGAGCAGGGACCCCAATGCGGGACTCAATCCTGGGACTTCAGGATCACGACCCGAGCCCAACCAACTGAGCCACCCACCCACCCTGGAATGGTGATGTTCTGAAGAGAGGGAAAGCTCATGTCACATGCTGCAGATGTCAGAGAGTGCATGTCAGTAGAGGGTGATAGAGCTTTCATTGGGCAGTGAGTTTTTGGTGGCCTGAAGCACAGGCAAGTAGTACAAATAGTACAAGGTGGGAGAGGTGCACCAAAGGCAACATTTGCCTCTTTCAAAATGTTGCTTAAAGTTGCTTAAAGTTAGTAAGAAAATGGGAGGAAATCCTTGTCTTCTTAATCCAATGCTATATGTCTTCCTGCTGCCAGGATGAATAACCCAAAAAAGAATGTATAATTAAATGGTAGCCTTGGGAAAATCTTGGTAACCTATGGTCATTTAATACATCAAAATGTAATTCCACTATTTAGACATAACACATACTATTTACATATCTGGAACGACCTCACCTTGGGGTGAACCAGAATGAATTTATACGATACAATATGACATCCTGTACTGTAGAAGCAACACTTTCAACAGTTGGCAGTTAAAGTGTGGCAGGTTGCTGTAGAAGCCAGTCTGGAGGCAAGTAAGCTACTGGACGTGCTGCAAGGGTCCTGCTTAAACAGCTGAAATGTACTTGTTAGAATTCTTTATTGTCAGGGCACCTGGCTGGCTCAGTCGGTAGAGCATGTGACTCTTGGTCTCGGGGTTGTGAGCTCAAGTCCATTGTTGGGCTTAGAGATTTACTTAAAAATAAAATCTTTAAAGAGAAAAAAATAAATCTTTTATTGCCTTCCCTCATGAGAATTGTATAAAGAAAACTAAAACTAAAATTCCATCTATTTTATTGGTAAATACTGGGAAAAGGAAAAGATTATATCAGTGTATGTTTTTACCTGCTTATATAATTCACTAATTTATGAATATTTATATTACATAACTTTATCTAATAATCCTTTCCTTTAATTTTAGGTTACGTTTAGCAAGAATGAATGAAGAGATGCGGGAATCAGAAGGACTTTATGGACAGCCAGGTCAATATTCTACTAATAACCATACTGAAATGCAGTATAAGAAATGCATTCAGGAATTTATTAGTTTACAATTGGAAGATTCATAGTTCTTTAGAGAACTGACTTAATACTCTAGAGATTTTATAATGTGTAAATTGTGAGTTGTTATGTATTGTACCTACTGAATTCTTGGGAGTGGCTAACTCCTGAGCCTTTAAAACTCCGTAACTATTCCTACTACAGTACACATTTACTTGCTGTGTTCAGCTTTGGCTGCTGACTTCTTTATCTGCTGTACAGATATCTTCCGTCTACATTCCAGTGACACGAATGGAATGATAACCTATCTTTATACTACAGCAGCAAAATAGTCATTTTCATTTTGGAATTCTCTTTAGCTGTCAAGTGAATATAACAGAGTTGTTTTCTTTTTGTTATTCAGGGAATTTCTATAAATTGTGTTCAGGGAAAAAAAAATCACCATGTGTTTGGCATATAAAAAGTCAGTATGGAAAATACCTAGAAAAAGTTTATTGAATGGAGAGTTTTGTACTCTGATCTAAAAATAAGTTGTAGGTTTAAAAATAAAATTTACTAGTAGTTTAAGAAGTCCATAATGGGAGTAGAGTTAGTTTAAAAGGTATAGAGAAAAGGTCTCACTTTATCTTGTAGCTTTGCCCCCAGCAATCATACGATATTTGTTGGATAAATGTAAGTATTTAGAACAGTATTTCATGAACCTGATGGCAGAGTAGATTTGTTAGAGAAACCTCAACTCAGGATCAGTTCACGTCTCATTTTGAGTAATTTTCACCTTTGAGTCAAGATGTGAAAAGGAAGAAATGTTGCTAATCAGATTCCTTTCTTTGATGAACACATCCTAATTAGACATTCTTCACAAAAAAAAAGTAATAATTGGATCTCCAGTTTCATGAATTTGAGTATATGAATTACTAATTTGTTTTACATTCGTATATGTATTAGTAAAAAATTTCAGGAATTCATGACCAAAATAATTGAGAATATTAGTTTCAAGTATATTTGATTTTTTAAAATGAATATTAATGTGTTATTTTTAAAGTGGCTTGGTAATATCATCTATTCTTCCTGTTTAAATATGTTTTGAAATTTCGGTATTTTATGCTAGCTTCAGCCATTAACTTTTATTTTAACTGGATTAATATATAATTAGTATAAATATGGGGCCATTCTTGTCTCAGAGGACTGTATCTACTACTTATTGTTGGTCTAGTTTAATAGGGAACAAATAAGAACTTTGAGAATAGAGGCACTTCAGCTAGATATTTCTAATCTAGGGTGTCCCACTTTAATCCTATGGATCAAACAATACTACTGACTCATGGTATACCAAGATGTAAGAGTGCTGATTAAGGGTGAAGTGTCAGCGTTAATTCTGAATTTCACCCATTTGTTTTAAACTTGAATGTTAGATTTTAAATAAGTTATAATTTTGTAACAGATATACTTAAGTGAGAGTATTACTAGGCCATTTTTGAGGCCTTTGTGTTTAAGCACTTTAAAAATAAAATTATTCAAAGGATATAACCTGATATTTGTGAGGTAAGAGTGAACTTCAAGATTTTAAGTTAAATAATTCTTATCCTGAAATTTTGAACTTAAATGTTTGGTCAGCTGGTCTTTCCTTAAGCTATTTGCTAATGAAGTTACACCAAACTGATTAGTCATAAGGTCAGTGGTCACTTTCCTTTGGAGTTGGGAAGCTTGAAAGGACAGGGCCTCCATGTTCTTGTAACTTCTAGTTCCACTCAAATTGCTTGGACTTCTGCTGCCACTGTTGAGGAGTGTTCAAATGTCTCTTTCACTGTTGTTTTATATATAAGTTTATGAGCATACACCTTCCTTTCCTCAGTAGAAAAATGAATTTTTCCAATGTATTTGACTGAAAATTTGAACCAAAAAGCCTAACTTAAAAAAAAATATTTTTTCTATCACTCTCAAATTTTAGAGGTTAAAAATAGATCGGAATTCTGGAAATGGTGTATCAGCAGAATAAAATGAGAGGATAATCTTGATAATAGTTAGATTTTTAATGCATTTAGGGGGTCTCCTATGTAAAGCAAAACAATTTTATACACTTATCCAGGTGACCTGGTAAAATGGCACAGCAGTTGCTCTCTGGCTACTTTTCCTTCATGAGTCTTTGTAGAGCAGAAATGTTCACTCAGGCAGTAGGTCTTTCTTTCCCTCCACTTGTCACTGTTCTTTTTCTCTCATTAATTGTGGTTGATTGTTTTATCTAGATTTTTTTTTTTTTTTTTGTGGCCTAGCAATACCTCAGAATTGTGGGTAATTTTAAAATGCAGGTATTTTCAACCTTTTGATAATGAAGGGCCCTATCATTTAAAAGTCTCAGATATAATCTTTGGGAATCATGGACTTACTTCTGAGAAACCCCACTTCTGAAACTTCTATCTACAACCCTAAGGACCTGAAACTCCCTGTTTTTTTTTGCAAGGCGCTATAAGAGCATGCATTTCCTGAAGGGAAGATGTATCCCTCTTTATCAGGTCCTACAGCTCTTAAGAGGACTGGGTGAGTGAGTGAAATATCACGCCCTGCTCTCAATTGCTGGAAACCACTTTGGTGGTTCCCACAGTCTCTGGCTCTATGACTCCTCTTGATTGTTGGCAGAGTTTCTCAGCCAGTTGAAAATTATCCCTTTAGTGAACCACTACTGGTTATGGGAATATGTTGCTGGCAAAGGTTGATCACTGATCAGTTTTCAAAAGAAAGCTGTAATCAACCCAGAAAGGGTGGGATCATATACTTGATCACCTCGGGGTGGGGTCTCACGGGCTGCCATCTCTTTGAGGGGAGTGCATTTCAAGAGCAAAATCAACAAAATCTTGGATCATCATCATTGCTTTTGCAATGGATATTCTGAATACCAAAAATCAAAAACTATTTTAAACTATCAGTGGACATACAGCAGTTCATATTTTAAAAATTCAGAACTGTCTGGGCACATAGAATAGTTAACTATTGGAAGAGAAATAGAATGTGATTAAGTAATTTAAAGTATATAACTTAGCATTACAAATACTGGGTGATTATTGCTTACCATTTGTAATAAACCGTTAAATGTACTTCTATGACCTTCCAGGGCAGCATATTCTGGGTTATTGTTTATGTATTCTAGTGTAGACCAGTTATATTTGCCTTGGGAAAAATTCTGAATGATTAAAATTATACTTAAATTTTAAAGAATCACATTGAAGTTCAATTTATGTTAACTATATTAAGTATCTTAGTCACTATTGTTATTGTAATGTTTGCTTTTTGATAATACATTTTGAGCCCTAAGAAAGGTGTTTTATTGATAGTCCATTAATTAATGTTTGTTAGAAACTGAACGTTAACAGGAAGTTTGTGTGTGTGAAGGTGAGGCTTCCTTTTGTATTGTATTAACTCGTAAAATGTATTCGTGAAACCAATGATTGTGTAGCACCAACACTTTCCTTCAAGGAAGCATTTAATCCAGTGAGTAAAAGATCTTATAACTTGTTTTGCATGGTACAATGGTTCTACCAAAATGTACTTGTGTAATAGGTACTAGATGATTTAAGAACAAAAGCTGCAAAACCACAAAAAGAAAAAAAACCCTACAGTTTGTTATACAGAATATGCGTTGCTAATAGTAGAAGCCATATATTGCCATTGTACTGTTGTAATACTTAAGAATGCTCATCTGGTGCTATCTGTAAACTATTTGGCATTAGCGTCTGCTAGATTCTTCTTCCTATTTCTCCTTGAATGTATAATGTGTGCCTTTTAAGTTACTTCTGGTGTTGGATGGTAAAATCAGTGTGTTATTTTTGTATTATGATCTGCACTTTACACTTCCTTGGAAAGTAAAATTCCAGACTCTCAAGTTTAAATAGTATTTTAAAAATATTTCTAATGTTTACAATAAATATTTTAAATATTTTAATTCAACATCTAAGAATAAGAATTTTTAAATATTTTGTATGGTTTGTTAATTGATATTTAATGTTGGTCTCTTTTCAGTTTATTTTATATCATCTAGAATGGCTAAAAATGGGAATAGATTTGAGATAGATTTAATATGAGAGCTTAACTTTTAAGAAATCATGGGTGTAGTTGGATTGTCCTAACAGTTGTTCCAGTATATCAAATTTTATTTTTATTGTTTCAATAACATGAGTTAGATGCTACTCTTAGCCAGCTTATTAAGATTTTCTTCTTACTGTGTTTTTTCTTTTTAAAGTAGACTGATTGATTCAGGTCATGAGAAAATTTCCAGGACTAAATGTTTTACATGGACTAAATACTAAAAGTGACTAAATATTAAAAGTATTAAAAAATTTTTATTGAGAATCTTGGGTTATGCTGTTAGACCTTTTTACTAGATCTTTATCCCCTTCCCCCAACTTTTTTCCGATTCTCTAGCTTTTGGTATGACATCTACTGCCTCAAAGATCTCGCTTATTAAAAGCTGACAAAACTTACTGCACTATTAACAGCTGTAGCAATGAGTTTGTAATAAGATGGATGCAAGATGTCTTACGGGAAATAATTATAAAACCATGTGGCAGCAGTAATCATTTAAAACGGTATTTGATGGTTTAAATTTTGAAAACAGAACTATGCTAAGCTTCTGTGTAAAGCTAATGTTTAACAGGAAGTAGTCATGATGAAAGATTCATCTTGAAAATAAGATTTTACTTTATGTAAATCCTTCATCTGAGGAATTAATCTTTGTGTATGCATATATTTAGTTTCTCCTAGCAAGAAAAACAGTATTCAGTCTGCTATAGTATCAGTATCTATAATCTGCTTCTCTACAAACGTATTTGTATGTAAATACATATGTGTATTACTCTAATTTAACAGACATCTTTGGTATCTGTTCCCCTTTTGTAATAACATTCTTGCTCGTACGACCTACGGTAAACAAAAAACTTCTGACTAAGTGTGAAACTGACTTTAGTTTAGTCATTTTCTAGGCTTTATTATTTTATAAGCTTAGTAAGCAGTGGATTAGGTGCATTAATTTTAGTTAAGCATTAAAGTTGAATAAAGAATTTCTTTTTCACATGCTATTTAAATTAAAATGCCTTTTAACTAAAGGATGATATTAAAATAGGCTTTTTTTCTCACCTGGTTATCAGTTTGTCTTATTAATAACTTACATCCATCAGAAGCATTAGTATTTGTTATTGGTCTTTTCTTTTGGCCTTGATCAAGGGAAATACTTATTTAAGAATGCCTTGTTTACTATACCTCATTTAGAATGACTTTTATTTCTGTGTAAATAAATGTATTTCTTTACATTGCTTTAAAACACTTGCATCTTTGCTCTTTTCTAACTCTGAGCTTTCCTCTGGCTGCATCTGAGGTGCTTTTTTCAGGTATAGCTTTTTTTTCCTTCACTGTATGCTTTTCCAGCATTTATATATGTTAGTCTTTTTTCTTCCAAAAATGCTCATCTGAGCAAAATTTGAATATGATTAATTATAGTTACTAGCCATAAAAATGAATGTTGTTTATTTATACTTTCATTGTATACATTTTAAAAGCGTCTTTGTTTTACTTTCATGCAGGTGATGAAACCTACCAGGATATTTTTCGTGATTTTTCCCAAATGGCATCCAATAATCCAGAGAAACTAAATCGTTTCCAGCAAGATTCACAGAAATTCTGAGTTTTTTTTAAGAAGGGGAAAATATTAAATTGAATGATCCCCTAATGTGTACATCTGAAATCTCACAAATTTTTACTGCTTTAATTCTACTTAATTTTAGTAGGTATTGAGTGGTTTGGAAAAAAGGTACCAGTTCATTGATATTTTTATAAATTAAAACATAGAGCTCTAGTAGTTGGGAGAGGAACCTATTTTAGGACCTCTTTTATAAAAAAAAAAAAAAAGTCTGTTTAAAGGGCTATTTTTTATAGATAAAGTTAAATCTAGACTTAGGTCATCTCTAGGTTATAAGATGCTAAGAGTTTAGACAAAATCTCTGTTTTTGCCAATGGGTGGTAGCATTGATTTTTTTTTTTTCCTATGCATCATGCCCAGGATCATTCAGTCAAGCATGTCTGCATCAAAGTGAGAGCCAGATGTTCTGCCTGCCTGAAGAATATGTCTTTTCTTTAGCTTCCCTAATGATTTTTGGTGGTTCAAAAATATTTTTTTTTGTTGTTTTGTTTTGTTTTCTAATATCCTAACTATCATATACACAGTATGTAATTTAATTATCAGAGCTAGAGAATATGTTTCCTCCATTTGCTCATAAATGTAGTGATACTCCTTAGATTTCTGGTTATTGGCATGTATGTTAACACACGTGTAATGGCTGGACAAGTAGACATAACTCAGTCTTTCAGATTTATTCCATTTTATGAAGCAAAAAGAAGCCCTTAACAATTTTTTTTTAAATAACCAAAAGAATCCTTACTTATAGAAGTTGTAGTCCTTCATTATTGGGTTGGTTTCCTAAAACCTTGACAAATTTATTGATGTAATAAAACTATGTTTCAAAGGTTACTTGAATGTTGAAAAATTATGCTTTTATCAGATTGTAAAACTTTTAAAGGATAAGTTGATTTATAAAATAATGTAGAGCATTTTTATATTTGAAATTTCTCCTTTTCAAGATAATTTTGCTATTGCATTGAGTGAAAGAAAAATTTCTGTGAAAGAAAAACCTCATGTTTTTCTTAGTTTATACTAAATTACGTAATGATAGATTGCTTTTAATTTTTTCAACATCTATCCTGTGTACTTTGTACACAGTGTACAGTATTTTTAATTATACTATCTATATATCTTTAGTAGTTGGTTACATGAAACACTGACCCTTGAATTCCAAAACATGGATCTACTAATTTACACGTAAATGCTATAAATTTGTCTGATTCCATCTTTGATGGACATATCTTGTCAGGAGTACAAAATAAGTCATTTGCCTTACGGTTTCTAATATTGTCAGTAATTAAGTTTAATCTTCTTTTACAAGTTATGTCGAAGTGATATTATTGATACTCAGTTTCTAAATAAGAGTTTCTAAAATTTGCATTACCAAATAAGTAGAAAAATTATATTTAATTTGGTAGATAATAAAATTTTCTAACATCCCTCCCTCCAGTAACTAGAGTTTTATAAGCTGATTGCATGTCAAATCAGGATTTGTCTAAACAGGAATTAGACTGAAGTAAATTCATGTCACAGAAAAGTTTCCATATTTGGCCAAATTGTGTGCATATAATGCTTATTTAATAATAATCAGTGTATGTTAGATAAGGATAAAATATATTTAATAGTTATTTCTAAGAAAATACTAACTTCCAATGCCTGTATTTTAATTGCAACAGTAACAGGAACATTAAATCTCTGTTTCTCACCTCAGAGTCACAGATCATCTGGCTTTGCACAAGTCTAGTCTGTAACATTTTTATTAGAGTGTACTTTGAAGTTGTCCAAAAAGTTCAAGGATAAGGAAATATGTTAAAAATGAACAGAAAGAAAAAGAGAAGCTCACTTTTCCTTTGTAGTGCCTATTCCTGTTAATCATAGGCTTCACTTCTAATGCTCCTAAACTTTATCTGAGGAAGCCTGAACAGTTTTGCTTTGAGATCCAGCCAGTGGTGCTTCACATCATCTCTGGGGTCTCTGGTTGTGAAGGCCATTCCTTATGACACTCTTACCTCCTGTGGCTTGAGTCATGAGTTTTATTAATGTGGTAGTAATTAGTGTCTACTTAAATTTAATGGTTAGAGATGTATTTGAAGATTATCATGGTTCTGAATATCTTCAGAGAAACTAAATCTTTAACAGTATAGGAAGCCTGGCAATACAAAAATACATTCCTGTGGCTTGATTTCTTGAATATGCCATGACCCAATTTGGATGAAATTTGGCAGAAACGATGCAGTAAATATAGCAAGGCGTTAAAGTAAATTAATAGTTACAAGTAGTTACAACGTAGATTGGGTCTTACCAAGGTGAATTTAGCTGTGTCAACTAATAGCTTTTATATAGTATGTAACAAATCTGAGTTTTATTATGCTGTGAATTATTCTCAATGCATTATGAGAAATTATAGTGTGAACAATGTTAATCATACTTTCGGGCTTCGTAAGTCAATGTGATCGCCCTTTGTTTTCTTTCCCTAACTGATCTGCTTATATTAGTTTCTGATTCCTTATCAGTATTCTATTAGCTTATTGTCACTAGCACAGTAACTTAAAAGCTAGATTAACATCAAAATAAGAATAGCAGTACTATGAAGAGCTCATAAAATGCAGTCTTGCACTAGAACTAGACTAAAGATAATTGAGTAGTTATTTGCAGTGTTTCCTTGTAACACTTTTATGTTTAAGATTTCTAAGGTTTTTAAAAATTACCTTTGGTACAATCCTTAGAGATTCAGAAATTTCCAGGGATTCAGTACATTACAGTGTTTACCTAATTTTTACTGGTCTTCACTGTATATTTTAATGAGCTTTGATGTTTACTTTCTGAAACATATAATTTAATTTGGAATATATACTATAATTTTGAAAAAAAAAATGACACCTTCACAGTCTGGACAACTTAAGTTTGTGGTGTGTTGGGCAGTATTTTAAAAAATACAATTTTACACATGTAAAGTATGGTGACAATAAACCAAATTGTATTTAAGACTAAATTTACTACTCATTTTGAATAAGAACACATTCCCATAGCACTCTTACATTGTCCTATTAACTTTTCTGTTTGATAGCACTTTTGATCATGGACAGGAGCAGGAAAAATGATGTATTTTTATAGAATTGTTATGTCCAAAATGACTTCCACCTTCATGATACAGTGGAAAGAGCACTGACTAGTAGTTACTGCCCTTTTTGGATTCAGAGCTCCTCACAAATGAAATGAGTGGGTAAAACATGGTGAAACTGTAACAGCATCCTTTTGTGTACAGTTCTGCTCACAGTGTACTTTGACATTACTTTATCTCACCTGATTCTGACAGTAGGACTTCTGCGATATTAATCTAAGAATGCCAGCATTTCTGTTCTTTGATCCTGGGTTGCTCCTCTTGGTTTATAGAGGGGAGTCGTTGATGTGCTGGTTGGTAGGGTAGCTGACACCAGAACCCCTGTCGGACTGACTACTAGTCAGAGGCACTTTACTTGTATCATGAAATGTTTTGAAATCATTGTAAAGTAGCAAAATCTGATAATGACTGCCAGCTTTCCTTGTGTTTTCATAATGAAGACCCCAAATATTTTGGAGAACCTGGATATAAAATTACCTTGAAGGAATAGATTAGGATTTAAAGACATTAAATTGTAGGAAATATTACATTTTTGTAATAACAAATATTAATGAGAGCGACACATGGTAAGGTGATTTTAATTTACCATATACTTATCAAATTCTTGATGCTTCCAAATGAAAGGTAACTAAAAGGGCCTTGGATTCAGTTTGGCTGAATCCTGACATCTATAAACATAGTTTTGTAGACATCCTTTTCCAATTACATAAACTTATCCACTTAAAATGAAATAATAAGGGGAGGGAAATAAGATTTGATTAAATAATATTTTCTCTGCATTGGTCTTTTCCCTATCTTATGTTTTAAGATTTTCTTATTTTTCCTCAACAACCCCCTGCCTTGGGTGTTAATTTTAAACAGGGAAAGCTTGCTACATTATAAAGATTGCTGGCACCATTTATTTTACACAAAGGCTAAAGGTTAACTTTTCGAAATGATGAGCTACTTTTCTATATGTGTTTACTTGTGCTTTGTGGTATTTCTGAACCATTCCAGTCATAAAGACTTATTACATGTAATATTTCTTGCTACCTGTGAAAAGGCATATTTTAAAGAATGTATAACCAACACTCCATTTACTTTTTATTAGTATGTAGAGGATTTGTATCTAATTCATGAATGTAGTTTTACTGTAGTTTGTCATTGTAAATGGAGCAAAGTACATTATCTTTATAGTTATTCTAAAATGTACATTATGTAAGAATTGTAAATATTATACTTGATTAAATACTTTGTATGCTGAAAAATTATGATAAGTCAATAAAAATCTCACCTCTGGCATAGTTCTCTTATGCTCAGACTTGCACTTTATTGTGAACTACAACTGCAGACATGTCTGTTAAGAACTGTCATGTTTAAGATCTCTATTCCTTTCCAGCTCTGTCACATTGATCCAGTTGATTCTCTTTGCTGATTGCTTCAGTCAGGAAATCCATTTTCATCTTTTAAGTATTTTCTTCCTGATCACAGAGCTGTATGCATTTATTAGCTAAAAATCACAGAGGCTTTTTTTTTTTTTCTTTTGTTGCGGGAATGGGGGCTAGCCCTAATTATTTTCCATAATGATTGACATCTGTTGAAGTTCCCCATCTAGGCAACACGTTCACACTCAATCCTTTTCGTAAATAAACAAAAACATGTTTCTATATGAATTGAGATCTAAGGAATGGAGGGTTGAAAGAACAGATCTGGAAGTGAATCACCAGCTTTTTTTTTTGCCTTTTAAGTTAATTAAAAGCAGACACATAAAACTTTTCTATGTGACTTGCTTTATTCCACTTCATTTCATTTTCAGAATAGTTCTGTGAAGAAGAGAACTCACACCAAGTCAGTAAATTTTTTAAATGAAAATGAACAACCTACTTTTTCCTATTGCAAAATGATGCTTTTTCATTGTAGAAAAATGTTTAACAACAAGTAAAAAAGATAATTATCCATAATTCCATCATCTGCCTGTGCTCCCAGTATGGTCTCTACTAGCCACATGTAGCTATTGAAATTAATTAAAGTTAGACAAAATTAAAAGTTGAATTCTTCTGTCACACTGCTACATTTTAAGAGCTCAGCCACATGTGCCTAGGGACTACTGTTTTGAACAGGACAGATTGTAGAACATGTCCATCATTGTAGGAAATTTTGTCAAATAGTATTGAGGGGGAAACTTTCTCGGTATATATCTTTCTAGAACTTTGGGTGTGTGTATTTTGGTTGATATACAATGGGATCATACTGTTTTGTTATCTGCTTCTTTCACTTAATAAATAGGGAACAGATTTCTAAGTCCTTCAGTGTACATCACTTTGGGGAGGATTTTAAAAAGTCTTTATTATGGAAAATTTCAAACATAAACAAAATTGAATAATTTCAATAGCTGGTAGCTCATGGCTAACACTGTTTTATCAATACTCCCACCCATTTTTTTCTCTTCCCCAGATTTTATTTTGAATCAAATCTCAGACACTTTACTAACAAATCATTCAGTATGTATCTCTAAAAGAAAAAAGCCAATCACAATATCTCATTTCCTTAAACTATGAAACTATATATTCAGTATTCAGATTGTCCCGATTATATCAGATGTGCTTTTTAAAAATAGATTCTTCAAATTAGAATTCATAGAAGTTCCATTCATTGCAGTTGGCTAATAGGTCTCTTGAGTCTCTATTTTAAATGTTTCCACTTGCAGTTTGTGAATACATCGCTTTTAATGACAGCATCATTATTTTTCTTTAACCACTTTATTGGTGAACGTTTGATTCTAAATTCTTGCCATCATAAAACTAGCTCTGCTTTATCCTTATGGCTAAACATTTGCATACATTCTTAATTATTTCCTCAGGATGAATTCCTAGAAGTAAAAATGCTGATTCACAATGGGCGGATATATTTTTGAGGCTCATTTCAATGAGTCAGGTATTGGGGATATTATGGTAAAAAAAAAAAAAAAGATGTACTTCCTATTTTTCGTGAGATCTTGCCTTCTTGCAATGGAGAAAGATGGGACTGAATAGGTTATAGGTGGCCCTCATGGGATTGTTGGAGGATAGTGCCTCACCTGGACACTGGATGGGTTGGTGTTCAGAGACCACTCATCAGGGCAGTGACATCTAAGTCAAGGTTTGACGCAGAAGGAGAGTTTGGCTGTGTGAAGATCTAAGGCAGTGCTTTAGAAACTTTGGTCTGTAAAAGATTCACTATTGAGGCTCAGGCTCATTGAAGATGAACCTGATTCTCTGTTTTTACCAAGCTCCCCAGGTGTTTCCAATGCCAACAAAATCTGAGAACCACTGCCTTGGGGAGAAACATTCATCAGGATAGGAGAGAATTGAGAGTTCTCTTAGGGGCCAGAAAGATTTTAGTATTGCCAGAGTGCCCTCCAGAAAAGTACCCTCCCTCCATCTGCTGTAGAGGGAAGTGTCTCTCTCTATCCTTGACAATATTGGGTACTAGTCAATATGATAAAAATCTGATAAATCTATCCAACATTACAGATGGAAAAGCCAGTTACCTCTAATCTCTGGTCAGAAGTCTGAGAAATTGACCAAAATTAGAACTGAAAGAGTTACTGTGCTTACCAAAGTTCTTTGTCTATTTAGCCATGTTATTATTATACACCCAGCTATCTCTATTTTGAGCTGAGGAAACCTGTCACCATCTGACATACTACATACCTTTTCTTGTCTATTTCCCCGGCTAGAATATAAGCTGTATGAGGGCAGAGATTTGTTTTTTTTTTTTTTTTTTACTGCTGTAATCCTCAGGCACTACTGTGCTTGATACGCAGTAGTCACTATGTTATCTATTGAATAAATGACTAGCCACCTTCATTCAACTCCTATTTCAGTTTCCAGCCAGCGGTATATTTCAGGAAGCTGCAACATTAATTTATCTTTATGGTCAAAGAATTGGGAATGAAGAAAACATGGAGAGAGTCTCGAGTATTTTCCTTTCTATGTAAAATTTAAATTATCTTGTTAATTCATTTTTTATCCATAAATTCCAGGAGTAGTGATCTTGTAAAGGTCTGAAAAATAAAATAATGGAATAAATTCTGGAATAAGTGGCAGAAGGAAAAACCACATTATTGATGGTGAAGATGAAGGGCACAATTCCAGAATTATTTTTCTCTTATTAGTGAACAACAATCAGAATGTAATAATATAGCTGTAGCACACTGCTGTGGGGATTCTGTGGAGCATATAATAAAGTCTTAATGGAGATCTGTAGTTTGATATTTGTAATTACCCTAGAAAAGCTATGGTCGCTATAATTTGGTACTTGTTGGATATTTAGCCTTGTAGAGTTTGGTGTTTCTAGCATAGTTTATATTGTTTGCTAAGTGTTAGGCACAGTTCTAACTGCTTTTTATGTATTGTCTTATAATCCTATGAGGCTTAGGTACTAGTATTAGCCCTGTTTTCCAAATGGGTGTAATTGCAGCTCAGATTAAGGAAACTGTCTGAAGTCTAATAATTTGTAGTGCTAGATAAACTTGGAGAGCTTGCTCTTGTAACCAGTGTCTGCTGAAGGTTGTGGTTAAATACACACAACTCAGGGCTCAAAATACTGCTTTCAGTGTGAATCTTGGCTAAAAGCTTGGGCGTTGGAAGCGGGAAGACTTGGGTTGAGATCTCGCTCTATTACTAGCCAACTAGGTTTGGGCAATATACTGCTCTAAATCTGTTTCCTCAGTTGTAAAGTGCAGATAATAACTCTACTTAGGGTTGTAAGGATTAAGTGAATTAAAGTAAGAGCCTATCACTCGAGTGAGTTAATTGAGCTATTGGGTTATCCTCACCCCCCACCCCAAGGTAATTAGTATGTGTTGATCTTGTTGCTCAGCCCACTTCAGAGGACCAATGTTTTTTCAGAAAACTGTTAGTCCAATTGAAAAGAGTTAAAAATGAGATGAATTGTGGTTCTGGGTACCAGTCACTTTGACCAATAAGGGCATGGCACAATAAACTGCTGAGTGATAATTCGTATGTGCATTTGCCCGTGCATTTTCACCTCCGTGTCATTCAAGCATGCAGATCATTTGTACATGTTTAAAAGCTACAGTATTATCATCAGTCCTTAGACTGAAGTTAATGAGTTTTTATGCAGTTGTCAAGTGTCCAGCTGTCTAAGGTCAAAACCGCAACTGTGTGACCTTGGGCAAGTTACCTCAGTGTGCCTCAGTTAAAATTGAAAAACGACTTGGTACATCTTAAGGCTCTTTTAAAGTGTTTGTTAAAAAAAGAAACAAGAGTCTCCGGCCGTTACTCCCCTGGGGCTCTGGAAACTATCCCAAAGTCGTGGAAAGTGGGGTCCCCCTGCTGGCCACATCCTTTACATGGCCTCAAGTGCCCGTGCGCTGGGCAGGCCATTTCCACCTTAGGTGGCATTCCTCATTCACCGTGAATGAGGAAGGAGCTTGTTAGTTTAAATTCCCTAGCCTCAGCTAGTCTCCCAGGTGTGAAGGGAGTCGGCGGGGAGAGGACTTCAAGCCTCCAAACATTTGGGGGAGAAAGGTATAGAGAGAAAACTTTTCCCGTTTTGTGCGTCCAGTTTAGTGTTTTTGCTAACCGAAGATCCTGCGTTGGGGCGCCTCTATACCTTTCAAGGCTCAGCTTCGATTTCTAGCGTCTGGGGCTGGGCATTTAGGACGGCCAGTTTTAACAGACCGTACAGTCCCGCTGGCTTTCTCGAAGTCTGAGTCCTCGCCCGCCGCTAGCTCCTTCCCGTCTCGAATCCCTCTAAATCTAGGACCCAGCGGCTGCCGGGCAGCCCTGGCCCCGCCTCTCCGCGCATCAGCGCCCGCGGATTGGCTCCGGGCAGCGCGGCCCCGCCCCCGCCATGGCCGCTGCCCGCCGCCTGGGCTACTAAGTGGCTGCCAGGGTGCTGGTCTCTGCTGCAGCTCCCCGGCTGCTCTGTCTGCGGGTCCGTCGTGCATGGGTCGGCGAGGCGGGTCCTCATGCGCTCGGGCCATGGCGCGCCTGGGCGCTGTGCGCTCCCACTACTGCGCGCTGCTGCTGGCCGCGGCGCTGGCCGTCTGTGCTTTCTACTACCTCGGCTCGGGCCGGGAGACCTTCTCCAGCGCCACCAAGAGGCTGAAGGAGGCCCGCGCCGGGGTCCCCGCCGTGCCCTCGCCGCCCGTGCCGGAGGTGGCGCGGGGCTCCGTGGCGCCGGCCCCGGGCGCCAAGGCCAAGAGCCTGGAGGGCGGCGGGCCCGGGCCGGTGGACTATCACCTGCTGATGATGTTCACCAAGGCGGAACACAACGCCGCGCTGCAGGCCAAGGCCCGCGTCGC